GGTGCAGACAAACTGAGCAGGATGAAGAAAAACAGGCAGGAGATGAGCATGAGGGAGACCTCCCCACTCCTAGGTGTGGGAGTGCTTGCCCAGGCTCCCATCCTGGGAGAATTCAAGCCTCTGAAATACAAAATAGAAAAATACCAGCCTGTGGTAGGAAGTCCCACTTTCTTTTCCCATGCACTTGTCCCACTCAGCACTGCCTCATCCTGCCAGAGTAGTATCATGTCCAGGAGGCATTCTGTTGCCCCTTGCACACACCCCCCCCGTTCCAACACCACCACCACCCCCCCCCCCGGGTATCTCATCCACTCCCACAGAACACAGCAATACCTCACCATTGAGTTCATCTCCTCTTGGACGAGGAAGAAGATGACACCCAGGAAGCATCTCACTTAAATAGAGAAATGGGAAAAGGAAAGTTAAATTGGTAAAGGATAAGGATTAAGTTCACATAATTCTTGTGTAACAGAGATAGAAGCTGTATAAGGCAAACAAAATCCAGGGAAAAGAGGAGCGATAGCACAGGAGAGGCAGAAAGGACTTGAGTCCTGTTTTGACGTCTGAAGCTACAGCTGGCAGCCTCGTGAAGAGGCCAGTCAGCATTCTGGGGACAAAATTGCCTGGCTGTATGGAGGAGGCATAAAATTTTGAGAAAAAAAGTCATGCCTTTTCTTGACAAGTGTTGGCTCATAGGGATTAAGCAGGGTGCAATGCCTTCCTTCTGGTTCACTCCCCTGCCTTTCATTCCCTGCAAGGCGAGTAAACAGCCACCCCTGCATCAAGCAGGGGAGAAAGGGGCAATGGTAGGAAGATCAGAACCAGCTGGCTCATAGATGAATTCCTCCCTCCTTCCTCCACATGGTCACTCTGCTAGAGGCTGAGTAACAAACGCCGGGACCCGGCAGAACAAAGACCAGCTGTAAGCAACACACACAGGGTTGTTTGGGGTATGGTTGACTTTTGGAACTCTGGGTGTCTTGTAGCTGAGGGCACGGGGCTCTGCATGGCAGGACTTTGGGCTGAGAGCCCCGTAATCCGGGCAACAGCTCGGGCTCCCCTCGCCACGAGCCATCCTCGCTGCAGCAGCGCTGTAGGAAGCGGTGCCAGGGTCACACCACCATCTGCTGGCCTGTCCTGGCCGCACAGCTGCGGCAGCCCGGCCCAGCCTCTGGGGCTGCCAGAGGCATCCTCCCGGCTCCGCGGCAGTGCCAACAGAGCCCCCCTACCGACTGCAGAGCTGACCCAGGGATCGTAAGCAGCTCCACACCCCTGGGGTTTCTCAGAGACAGAAACCATCTTTATTCTGCTGGCTTTCCCAGCTGTGTGCAACAGCAGTTTTCCCATCACATGTACCTTCCTAATGGCCCTCTTTTAGTTTTGAAGCAATCAAGGCATGTTCCACTCCTGACTGCACTGCTGGGACTTACCATTTGTGAAAGTGCAAGTGGATTGATGCTACCTATGTGCTTCTTCTCAGCTTACTTCATATGGAAAGCTTGCAAACCTGTGGGTGAAGCCAGGTCAACAGCAGCCCAGATGTGCCAAAAAATGCACCAGGCTTGGTCCTGGGGCCTGAAATCTCATGTGTTGGTCTGCACCACACAAATGAGCTGATGAAAGAACCATGTTTGATTGCTAAAGAAGTGAACAATCACAGGGGTTTATTTCGCACAGACCGGTCACATCAGCCCTGACAAGGTCATACACAAAGGTTGCAAAACCTCTAAACCTCTTCTGGGAGTCTTAATGAGAGTCATCTACTTTAAGTTCTCTCAAATGAAGAGATATGAGAGTTTGCCTTTGTGGAGGGCAGTAACATCAACATTGTATTTCAGATATCTACAGCACTTTGCAGGGATTAACAAGTTAATCCCCATAACAGCTCTAAACAACCTTTGCTGAGGCATCATTATCCCCCATTTTATATATGACAGGTGGTGAGATTTCTCCAAGCCTATAATTCAGAGCCAGCAGTTCCCAGACTCTGGGCTGGTTCTCAGTCTAATTGTTCCTGCTGCCGTCTTCTCCCCAGGGATGGATGAGCAAGGGCTGTGCATGTAGACACAAGAGACAGGGTGCAAAGTGCTCATCTAGCTGACAGGAAGGACCATGCTCCTGTTCTCTTAGGATAATAGGGTCAACACATATCCCATGAGCAATCCAGCCTGAATACTTTGCTTCAAACAGAGCTGGAAGCCTGATGGACCAACCATCTCTGGCTCATTTTATCAGCTTTGTTTTCATGTGCCAGGAAAATTGTCAAGTTAAAAGCCTTGAAGGCTAGTGCTCCTATTTCTCTTGTAAGTTTGTACAACAGCAGCAGACACCATGAAACCTTACCTGACAGTGAGTCAGCTGTGAGCTGAGGAGTCTCTTTCTTCACAGGCAGTTTTCCAGAGTCTGCTCCAGTATCTGAACATTCTCATCCGCAGAGAATTTGCTGAGCTCTGTAAACAGACATCTCAGAGCAGGTGCCTTTCACAAAACACAGCAAACAGGACCTGAATGGCATATGTAAGACCCACACTAGGTTTTGTAAGATTGCTGTTAATGAGCTTGCATTGCTGTTACTAATAATGCAAGACAAGAAGGCACCTCCTCAGTCATGGTGGCTCCTGGGATATCAATTTTAGCTGGAGATGAGAGTGTTTAAGGTCTTCTGAATCCTCATAGATCCTCCTTGTAGAGTGCTAATCTGAGCATTCACCATTTGAGTCAAGGCAGTAACCCTATGGCAATGGTTTCAAAGGTATGCAAGAACCACCGTCACAACTGTTGCAGCCACCAAAGGAGCAATGGGATGGTCTGTGGATGATATGGGCTCTCTGGAAGAGGGAGACTGCCATGGTCCAGAGGAACCAGCCACAGCCCTGTATGAAGCTGGGAGCAGGATGCCACAAACCCCTGCATGTCCTGAAGAGCACACAATGAAAAGGGACACCAGATGATGAAATATTGTTCCAGGCTAGGGTTTAACTGCTGCTGGACTTTGCACCAAGGCCAAATACACCTTCCTGCCTCCTCCAGGGTTAGCCACATGTGGCAGCAGGTAATGTGGGCAGATGGGGACAGACACTCTGCACACTCCTTAGACCACCTTTCCCAGGACTTGCTGCCCAAGACTTTGTGGTTCTGTTCTCCAGAGAAACCCATTAGCAAGAGAAAAACTGCTGGAGAGTTTAAAAATGTGGATGTCAGCAAATGGTTCACATCACCCCAGGAGCCGGTGTCCCACCAGGGACAGGAGCTGAGGGTACCACCACCCACCTTTCCTCTCCTCATAGCTAGACAATGAATATCTCCTCAGTGTCCTATGAAATCCTGTCTCGAGGGAAGATCTGAAAGAGGATAAGAAGAATCTTGCAGACTGGTTCAAAGAAATTGGAGGTTGAAGCGTGAGAACGCACGGCACGGTGGGGCTGACATCAGGACAGCCGGGAGGAGCGGCACCCTGGTGTCGCAACCAAGGGCAGGAACCTGACGGAAAGGGCCAGACAGCAACGGGCTGTGCAAAGCCGGGAAAACCGACGTAACCTGGCTGGAAATCCAAGCTCCGGCGAGCCGAGCTCTGCGCAGGCACAGACTGGGTGAGCACCTGCAGGTGGAGCTGCGAGAACTGCGGAGCAGCAGCCAGCCATCTCCCGCCTGCAAAGAACGGCTGGGCCATTGGGTGAGGTGAGGCAGGCGGCAAGGCAGGGGTGGAGGGGAGCACAGACCCTCGCCTGGCCACACACTTTGGCACGGAAAGGTCGAGGCTCAGCAGGCTGGGAAACAGTCTTTACGTTTGGAGGAATCTAGTGACAATCTGCAACCAGTTTCCTAACTAGGGCAAGAAATCACAGAGATGGGGTGAAAAAAAAAGCCCTGCCAACAGCAGAAGTACCCAGATCAACAGCCACTAACCCAAATGTCAGGCCATTTGCTTAGGAAACAGGCTAAAATTTGCCTTCTGTGCAGTTTAAGACAGGGAGTAGTACTACCACCACACGGAGCTGTAGAGGCAGCCTTCACCTTGCCAGGCTTTAGCACAAATATTCAGTACTTGCTGATGCAGAAAGACTGACCCTGTCCCTAGGGTCTGGCAGCAGAAGTTCCTACTAGAACCTCCTCATGTTTCTCTTTCTATAAAAACTCCTTCCCAAAGCATAAAAGTATTATCAAGGGAAAACCTAAATGCCACATACTGCCATGAAACATTCTGCAAAGTTTTCCAGTTTTGTGGAAAAGTGCTGCCATGTGCTCTTTCCTATCACAAAGCCTCCGCTGGAGCAGTGGCTGGGGCAATGTCCCCCGGTTCCCTGTAGCCGTAGCACAGCACAGGAAGGATGCAGGAGTCTCTGCATATTGCCCCTTCCATCTCCACGTCCTTTCCCGGCTCAAGGGCAGCCATCAGGCCCTGGGGTGCTCCAGCAGCCTCTCCGGAGCAGTGCAGTTCTCGGGCCGCCCGACTGGCTGCACTCTCAGCTCTGATTTGAAAGCAAGAGAAGGGAGAGTGCTTGAAGCGGAAACTCATCTCAGAGCCGTCCAGGAGCAGCAGGTTCCCGCGTTCTTGGTAGACAAAAAGGCCAAAACAAAACCCCACACCAATAAGTGAGCAGGTGTGATGGTGGTGTGAGTAGAAGTGGGGAATGATCTAATTATCAGTCCGGGGAGGGTACCATCAGGGTGATACAGTCCCTGCAGAATCCTCTCTGCTGGGTGGTAAAACAGTCTCTCTAAGCCACTGCACGCAGAAAATAGCCCATCCCTATGCACCCCTCCCGGGTTGGGCATCTGCCCCATTTCATCAGAAAAAAAAAAAGTCTCGCTGTTTAGTGTGAGAGCAGGCAGGAAGGGGTGGGGGGGGCGCGGGCGGCAAAGAGATGATCAGCTGGCAAGAGAGAAATGCTCTGTGGTACAGAACTCATTCAGAACCTGGCTTATTTCCCTGTCGAGCTCCCTACAACCTCCAGGATCCTGCCTCCAGTGAGATGCGAGCCCAACCCATGGGTCCATTTCCCAGGCTCAGCTGCTCTGAAATGACCCCACTCCCTGGGAGGGGGCTGCAGGATCCAACTATCCGGGAGGCCAAACAAGGAACGCCTTTCTTGGCAAAGGAGAAAAGGACCTGGGAGGCCCCCTTCGCTCAGGTGACCCACCCGACCCCCATTGCAAACAGCTATAAATCCTCCTGCTTCCCCACCACAGCATTCCCGGGCACTCCTCTCACTGGAGCTGGGCCTGGCTCTGCAAAGCATGTCACTGCTGGATGGCCTTGGAAGGTAAACATGAAGCTGGCTGACTTACTTATCAGAGGGGTTTTTCTGGCTGAGGACTAAGCTGACTTTAACCAGTGCATAGTTGCTAGGCACAAGCTGGCTTTTTGGCTTTGCTGGGCTCCCTGCAGGACTGGTTCACCTGGACCCTGCTAACCAGGTTCATCAAAGCTCAATGTGGTCCCTGCCAGGAACCGCAGGGCAGTAAGCCTGGCACCAGGCACTCTTCCCACTGGAAGGGGGATTCACTTGGTCTCTGCACATGCCAAGTTAGCAATGAGCAGTGTGTTTCCACCAGGCACAAAAGGATGAAGCATCAGAGCTGGCTCCCGCAGGTCTTTGGAGAACGGTTAACTTTAGATCGTTAGTGGATCTGCATATCTGTCTTCAGAGCCCCTCCCTCCTCTGCTCATTTGCGACTGAAAGCTGGGAAACTGCCTGCCAGGTTTTCTTTCCTCTGCTGGCTCTTCCCTCAGCTCCATCTCCTCAGCCCAGTGCGGCTGATCTCTCAGTCCCCGCATTCCACTGTCACCTTCTCACCCTACACCAGCCTCTCCACCCCAGCCAAGCCTCCAAGCACTCCCTCTTTCCACATCCCCTTTTCTGTACAGTATGTCCTGCCTCCTCCCTTCCAGGATCACACATACACACCCCTGTCCCCCCAACTCCTCCCTACCCCTAAGTCCTGCGTTACTGGCTTAGTTCTCTCTCAAAATAAGCATGACAGGGAGGTATGAGTATCTTATCCACACACACTGGAAAGCCCTCTGGCGGAACTGTTACCTTAGCTGTCTGTCACTCTATGTCACAGTTTTGGTTAGCCTGGGGCAATAGAAAGCCTATGGATGCCGCTGCTAGAGATCAGGGTCTAGGAGCTCCTGAATACTCTGCATGTGATTTATGGGTTCATGGGTGCTCAATACCCTAGAAACCTAGTGTTTTACGTAAGTGACTGTTAATTGTCACCAGCATGGGGCTTATCCACCGTGATGGCACATGAATCACACCTGGTGCAAATTTCAGCTCCTCCTCTGTCAGATAAGAGAAATTAAATGCATGCTGAGATTGTGTGGATAAAGGTGACAAGGTGCCAAGGGATCACCCATGTGGGAGGAAGGGTGCTGGTCTGGGGGTGCTATCTTGCATTGCTGCTTCTGTCCCATTGCAGCAGTCACAGCACAAGCTGCCAGCAGGGATGCGGCACTGTCCTGCCTGGGTCTGGATGTCAGGGGCCACCAGCCAAAGCCAGGAGTGGCAATGCCGTGGGACAGGCAGAGCAGTGGAAACGGAGCCTGACAGGGCAACTTTCAGGCAGAAGGGCCACGACCCTGTGGTGCTCAGGCAGGTCAGGTGAATCGTGCCTTCCTTCCAGTTTTTCCCCATCGATTATGAAAGGAGCCGAGATGGCTGCTGCAGATACAGCTGTTGTGCCTGTCCCCCCCTCCATCTGCCCTGTGCTCGGCTCTGCAGCAGCAATCACACACAGAGGCCTGGGCCACTGAGGATCTGCAGCCCTTGGAACAGAGACCCAACATCTCAAAGGTTTCTGGCGCTTTGGTTAAGCAAGGTTACCACCTGCACTGAGTAGTTTGCAGTGCGAACAGCACAGAGGAACCCCTTCCTATGGAGCCTCCTGCTCTGGGGAGGCAAAACCTGCTAAACTTCACCAAATGTCCACCAGCACCTTTCCCTCCCTCCCCCAATCCTTAAGGCTTGACTGCCCATGCCTAGCTGTGTCCCACCCAACTTTCTGAGATTCAACAATATTATCCTTGGGAGTGTTGAACTCTAATATATAAGAGTCACACATAGTTAACCTAAATAACAAGCTCAGGGCTTCCAAGAGATACTTCCTCACCAGCCCAACCCAGCTACCCAAGATGTGAGTGCCTTATGAGTGATCACACCAGGTAGCATCAGGATATTTGCCATTATCTCCAAAACTTTCTATTAATCCATCTTCTGGAGCTGCACTGGTTCATCATGGTCCTGTGTTTTAAACAGATGGAAACAGTCATGGGAATATTGCAGATGGAGATTTATCCATCACATCTGTCATCCTTGGGCACTGCAAAGATTCAAGCTCGAGCACCCTCAGATGTCCTCTCCAATTGACTTTATTTTCTTTCTTAATCCAAAAGCCATCAGTTTCCACTGGCAGAATATCCTCCTGGTTTTAGGCAAGAGCTGTGCTAAGAATTACCATTTAGACGGTGCCAGCTCCACACTTCAGTCAGGAATGCCTTTTTCTCCTTTTTTTTTTTTTTTTTTTTTTTTAATTTCAGGAATGTTGTAAGTAACTTCACAGCTGAACAACAGTGGGAATGGAAACCCTCAGAACTGATGGCTGTGACATTACAGGTACAGTAATTCCAAACTGATCCTCCTTTGTGCTGATAACAGGGCTGGCTATTGTTTTCCTGAAGTCCACATGTCCGAAAACACCGCAGGCGTAGATAATTGCAGTGAGCATGTGCTTTTGAATCTGTTTCTAAAACATGCCTGGGATTTAAGCTTTTTTAAAATCATGACCCTGATTCTGCTTTTTTTTCCAAGCTCAAAAGCAACAATTCCTTTGGCTCAAAATGAAGAAGGGTCTAGCTCTTAAATACAACTTACAAAGAGGCAAATGTGTCCCTGTTTTTTCTTCCTTGTGATGAAAGAACAAAGCCCGAAAGCTTTCAGCATTTACCCATTTTTTTTTCTTTTTTTTTCTTTTTTTTTTTTTTCTTCCCCTCTGATTTGATTTCCTTTTTTAGCTGTGGAAAGACAGATCTTATCTGAAGTGACTGGACAATTTGAAAGTTTCCCACTTTCTTTCACTATTTCACTCTGATGATGATGCTCATTTAGTTAAGCTTTGTCTTAGGGTATAGCATTGGGTTTCCTTGTAGCTTTTGGCTGGGCAATTGGCTCACAATATCCACCTTTGATCCTTTCATCCTTTCATGTTGGGAAGATTGCAAACTTCATACAGCTAAAGAGAGAAAACAAATAAGGGATAGCTTAATGAGCAGGATGCTTCCATAGGCTATTTTCTGGTGAAAACTGAAGTACCTTTCAGCCTCTGTTATCCAACAGTGTAGTAGAGGTTTGGGGACTGGTTCACTTGGTCTCTGAATCTTCATTTTACTTTTGCTGGATGTGAGCTGTTACTCTGCACCCCCTTCATCATCAATACACCAGTAAAGCCCATGACACACAATGGAAAATGGGGAAAATCCTGAATAAATCGCTCTCCAGTACAATATTTTCAGGACAGGACACAGGAAAGGAAAATTAAATAGAAGTTGCCCTATGTCCCCTTCCCCACCTCATCTTGCACACAAAAAGATTTTATATGAGGTGTCCCTGCCCATGGCAGGGGGGTTGGAACTAGATGATCTTAAGGTCCTTTCCAACCCTGTTTTATGATTCTATGATTCTATTTTAGCCTGGCCAAGGTACAACACGCTGACAGTTACGTTATCACAGGGCTGGCTCGGCTGGGATAAATGTGAAGTTGTAAACATGTTGTTACCTGGGGCCTAATTCCCCTTGGTGTAACAGGGCTGCACGGCTGATGTTTGTGTCATGCAACCGTTGGCTCCTGGTGTCCCAGCTTAGAGGGATTATAATTACATCTCACCTTGCTGATCTTTTTGGCTTGCCTGCCTTGAATTGCTTCCACAGACCTGCTCGACTTGTTTGTCTGCTGCTTATTATTCAGCACAACCCCCGCCCACTGCCCTTTCCTGTACATTCATGTTTGTGTCTAAAAGGCACAAAGGGACATTTTTTGAGGGGGAAGGTGATGAGCATTGGCTGCTAACTGGAACCCCAGCTCCTTGGACTCCAGGGGCCAGTCATGGGGTAGGGGGGAGCCATGTGCTTGCTTTAGCACACAGGGCAAGGACAAAGCAGTGGCTGGCTCAGTTGAAGTGAGTCACTACATTTCAAAATATGGGAAATGTAATGAGATGCTTCCTGAAACCTGAGTTTTGCGCCTGCAAAGCACAGGAACAAATGCAAAGCAGAATAAAGCAAGCAGCAGGGCGAGGGTGTAGATACCCACTCTACCAGAAATGGAGCTTGGTTCCTTCCTGCTCTCCCTGCTTGTAACTTCAAAGTGGGTTTTCCACAGGCAGGTGCAGGCAGCACTGATGGAAACAACTTCTGCAGCTCAGGTGAATCTCTGCTCTCTCCAGTGATGGCAGCTCCTACCTCATGTGGAAAAAATCGGCCACACGCCGGCCCTCTGAGCAGCAAGGCTCTGACATTAGAAGAGAGAATTCCCTTGCTGAACACAGGGTGGCTTTTTTCTCTAGGCTTCATCCTACCTCTTGCAAAAGGACTTTCTATGTGTAGAGGAGCATGCTAAGGGTTAATAATGATGCAGGAGATTTCAGACTGCTCTGATTTAGTATGGAGAAATGGCTGCGCAGCTCCGTGAGTAGCAATGAAATGGAAGAGGGTTTTTGCAGCAGGTCTCTTGCTGCCTTAGACTTTGCATTTTGCTGTTGCCCTTTAGACAATGACTAAAGCAGCAGTTAAGCTTGCACTTAAATCCATAAATCCTAGAGTGACACCTTTATCAAGTCTTATTCACTCGAGTCTGAAATCACACCATTATTTAAGAGGTTGCTCCTCAGTAAAGTTAAATGGGAGAGCTGGGATGAGTCAGACACCAAGACTGTTGATTGTCTTGTCCCAGATCGGGGTGGACCAGGCTCCTGGGCCATAGTTCCTCACTCAGGGGTGTCCATGTACCCTGAAGGATCCCAAGCTTTCACCAAACTCTGCCAAGGTGCCCAAGATGCCTGCAAAGGAGCATCTCAAACTGGACACCTTAAAGACAAACTCACAGGCATGTCCCCAGCCTCTGCCCCAGGCGTGCTCAATGCCAAAAATAGGGCCAGCTTGAGCAAGGGCAGCCTGTGCAGGTGCTGGCAGTCAGGATGTCCACGTGAGAGGTGGAAGATTGAATTCACGTTCCTGCTTTGGTCAGTTTGGATGCTGCAAGCATCCTCACAAGGGAGTGCCCTAGCCTTGGACTGTTGGGTGGCTCCTAGTCCTCCACACCGCTCAAGGTGTGCCTGGGTGTGAAAACACTCATCAAGAAAGACAGGACTCAGACAAGACTCCTGTGCTTCTGGCAAGTTAACCACCACTCAGGATATCTGAGTCATGCAGCACTTGTACTCAAACACCGGGCTTCAGCAGGTGTGATCCCTCCATTCCCACTCTCCATGGGATGCTGCTGGGTTAATGTCTCAGGACAAAGCTCTGTGGTTTCTCTTTGGATGGCTGGGTACTGATGTACAAGGGGAGTGGGCATCATTAAGGTTTCGTCAGACTTCTAAGACACGGTCTTGGAGCAAGCCTGAGCATGACCGAGTAAGGCAGTTGGGACAACAAATTCCAGGGGAGGAAGAACTGCACCAGAACAAAGGAAATTTGTCTGAGGACAGAAACACAAAGAAAAGTCCTCCTTGTTGTAGCTCTAAGAAAGAGATTAAACTGTTTCTAAAGTTAGGTAACACTCCCTACCTCCCAGCCATCCCTCATTTGTCACCCAGATTATGTTGAGTCCTGGGGCAGCATCTACATTTATTAAACTGAGTTATTTGCATCCAAAAAGAGTAATTTAAAAAGAAGGCTCCGGCAATGCTACTGATCTTGTTCACCCCAGATTATGGTAGGACTTTGGATTTTATTTATGATCCTCCAGCATATGATTCTGGTGGAGTTATAACTACCTTGCCACAATGCAGGTAAACTGATAACCACATCTGTTGATGCAAAGAATATACTCCCCTGAGTGGTGCCATCAAGGAGCTGTGGCAGAGGCAGAAGCTGGAAGCCTTCCTCCACCTGCACTGTATGGCAGGTGCTGTGACTAGGCAGGATGCCCTGCCTGTCCCCACTGAAACTGCTTCTGACCTTAACGGAAACAGGGAGGGTCGTTTCGGATGACTCATAGCATTGAATATTATGTTGGGAAATGAGCCATTGAGATCAGTAAATTGCTTTCATTTTCTGATGTGACTGTGGTGTTGGATGGGGATCAGGGAGGCAAAGGGTGGTTTGTTTATCCAAAAGGAGAAAGGGCTTAGTCAAAGTTTTGGTGGTTGATGAAAGTCCAGAGTTGGTAGCCAAGGACTGCCTCAGGGCACTTCCAGATCTGAAAATGTGTTGGCATTTCCAAACATTAATAGTCTGGAAAGATGGGGTTCATTTCTGGATTTGAAGTGACATGAGCACCCAAACGAAGCAGGGGCTCACAACTAGTTTTATCAGAAGCTTGTCAACTACATTTAGGACATTTTATCTCAGACCTCAAGGGCTTTATTTGATCAGCTGCAGTTGGGAGTTTCTATTACCAGAACCAAGGGAAACCCTTTCATAATGGGGTCCAATATACCCCTTCCTGCTCTAGCATAAGGAAAGGTAAATGTGTTACATCTTTGATCTGCTGCTTGCTTAATTTCATCTAGATAAAAACTGGCTCTAACTTAATACTGTTTACTGAATGGTACCTATGGACAAGACCTTTGCCAGTTTGAATACAAACCACAACCTGATGAGAAAAGGGATATGATGACAAAGGTAGCTGTAACAGCAGGATAAAAGGAAAACCTCTTCCCTTCCTGTGTTGTTACAGCAAACAAACGGACTTAGCTTTTTTCCAACGGGAACCCCATATAAAAATAACAGAATTTGCCCCACAAATGGCAGCAGTCCCAAGCTTTCATTACTCTTATGATGCCACTGGAAGCCTTTTTCAAGCAGACACCGTGGCTGTCTAACATGCTGGAACTTGCCCTTGCAAAGGTAATCCAGTGTGTGTGTGTCACCTATGTGTGTGCACACATTCACACAAACACACTTTTACTCCTGCAGGTCCTAATCAGAGCAGATACCCATTCTCCACTCTACTGAGTAACTAAACTTCACACTGCTGGAAGGCTCCCTGTGTTGGGCTGTGCTATGTTACACTGACAAACATGCACAGCATTTCCAAAGGACAGAATTATCCTGAGAGACTAACATCACCAGTCAGCTTAAAATTTGACTGATCATCTGTAACAGAGTCTCGCTAACTGGTTTTCACAGATGAGTAAGAACAGATACTGCTGGGGTTTTTAATTGCTACCATCAAGCTTAATTGGAGGTTCAAGCTGAATGAGTGTAAGTATACAGAGGCGGGTGTGGGAATGTGTCCCAGATTGCACCCACCACATTCTTCTGGTTGTCTCTGGAAGGAGATACCATCATTATAGTAACCATCCTTAGCCTTCCCACAGATTTTTGGCTCGATGGAGCCCAGAGCCTCCCTTCCCCACCTGCTGTGGACAGCCAGCAATAACGTGTGGGAAGCTGACACTGCTCCCACCCTGTTCCTCTAGTTTGTACACACAGCAGCTTCCACAAACAGAATGAAATCCACATGGAAACATCCACCAGGAAAAAAAATCTCTGACGTGGAAGAGATTGCACTGCCAAGGGGACTAGGAACACAGAGAGGAAGAGAGCTGCTGCTGAATTCCTGGTGTTAGGAGCAGACCCATGTGTCATGCTTGTGGGGAGGGATACCTTCTCTCATCCCAGACTGTTATAGTACATCCAGCAGCAAGTGCACCAGTGGTCTTGGCAAGTATGTGTGGCCACCTATCCAGAGAAGAAAAACACTGCTATAGACACTGAGCAGAAACAGCCTTTTGCAGGAAATGGCCTCAATTGCTCTTAAGAGGAAAATGCACAAATCTGAGAGGAACGTTTTGGGTCTCGATAGCTGCATTGTGTGTTGTTTTGCAGATGAATTCCAGGGGCAGAAGGAAGAGTGTTTATTTAACTTTTATCAGCATTCCTTCTGAACTTCTTTCCGTTCTGAATGAAAGTAAAAACTGAAAGAATCTCCCAAGGAACGTGATGGTTGTTGTAATTACTGCTTTTAGCTCCCATTTGTCCAGGAAGTGTGAATCGTAATTACTCATGTCACAGGGAAGCTCCAAACAAGCCTTTCTCTAAATTTGTTTGTGGAAATACTCACACTGCTTTACTTGCACATCTCTCCTCTGGCAGGAAGGGAGCAGAGGCTGCCCTGCACTTCATGTGTCATCTGTAGCTGTTCTGTAAGAAATACATTACTGACCAAAACAGGGATGGGACTGTGGTCAGTCCCAGGACCCTCTGTGCTTTGTTTGTCCTGTCATTTCCATAGGTATCCCTTCTTTAAAAATCAATAGAAACAGCCAAGTTGCATCCCAAAGGGGAGTCAAGTATTGCTATTCCCAGTGCAGGCTCAGGGACGCTGAACCTAATACTGCCTGCTTCAACAGAACTATTACTGTGCTTTGGTCATGCATGAGCAAGTTGATTTAAGTGTATATGTTTGGTTCTAACCCACCCTTAATACATTATATATTTTTTCCAGCTTTGAGATGTTTGTACAGCACCTGGCACAGCTAAACTGAAGCCACTGCTCAGAGGGGCTGGGACCAATGCCATCTATATAAATACTGGAAAAATTGGGGTTAGCAGCACACTCATGGCAGAGCTCTGTCAGTTCACATGCGTTCACATGCAGTGTATCACTGCTCCTTTCACACAGCATGGATTTCATTATCCAGGTGAATAATAGGAGGAAAGGGAGGGCTAACTTCTGAAAGCCAAGACATAGATAAGCAAGTTTGCCAATGTTAGGAGGGGGTAAGCTGGTTTAGAGCAGTTACTTTGCGAATCAGCTTGAATCCCCTCCAAAGCCCTTGTGGTTTCGGGTCCAAGCAGACAAAGCAATGCAATCCTTCAAGTGTTCTCAGTATTGACACACACTGCTGAGCGCTGTGTATGCCAAGATACAAAGAGGCAGCCTCCACTGGTCCATTATTCAGTGCTAGACAACTTGATTATGGTGGCAACAAACTACACTTTTGCAATATTGACATTGTGGTCTACGGTAACAAACAAGTTATAAAAGGCCTGCCACATTTTTAACTACTGCTATGGCTGTGATTAATGGCTTTAACTCAATCTGAAACATCTGATCCATCTTCTTTGGAAGAAAGTTCATGCAAAGTGCAATTCTGTAAAGGAAGTTTTCATCTGCTCCTAACTTGGGTCATGATGTCATCACCTTTCAAAGCTGGCCTGAGCTTGGTTCTGGGGAAAAATTGTAAGGAAATTCCTATTTAAGTATGGTCTTGTGGTGATAAGAGCTGCATTGCATCAGGACTAATTCATGCCTTCAGCCACATTAGGTGTGTGCAAGGAAAGCTTGGTCATTTCTCTGCAGCATCAAACACCAGAAAGACTCTTACTTGCTCCAGCTTCTGAACAATTCTGCAGAATGGCTGGGAGCTTTGCTGGCCTGCTGTGCCCGGGGCTTGCCAGAGCCAAAAGCATAATCCTACCCCACTGCTCTGCCTTTCTCCCTTGCCCTTGAGCTGAAGGGTCTCAGACCTGCTCCCTGGTTTCTGCTGGTCTGACCATCCATGTGACAAACCTGGCTCAGCTCAGCGTGCTTCAGAGCTGGCAAAAAGGAGGCAAGAGCACATGGCCAGCAAGGATGGAGCAAGCATGCCTTTCCAGGGTAACCTGTGGACAAAATGGTCCATCTTTATCCTGTGCCTGCAGCCTGAACCAAATAACTCATACCAGCTGGTCAGTCTCAAGCCAACTCATACAGAGCTCCCTAAGTACATGATGGATTGTGAAGAAGGAAAATTAGAGCACCAGCACAGCTGACAGGAGACACAAGTTCAAAGCCTCATAGATCTGTAGGCACTTCCCTTGATTTCAGGGATTTAAGGTTTAGGGTTATACTTTGCCTGCTGCTAAGCAGAATGAACACACTGTCCTAAACCACTAGGCTGATCCGAGTGTGATGAAGAATTTAGGTGTGCAGATAAAACTGTAAAGAGCCATGTAAGTCCCATGGAGATAAATACTTGCCCTGGAGTTAGCTTGAATTTCTAACAAGTATTTTCTATCTGCAAGGCATAGCGCTGCAAACTTACCCTTAAACACAAAGCAGCCTGGAGCAGTCCCAGGAGCTCTAGTGCTGCATAGGTGTAAACAATTATTAATAACAAATCTACTAGGCAAACTGGAAGGCATATTTGAGCTGTGTCAATGTTGTATCCCAAAGCAGAACCAGATCATAGAGTGGTAGTTATTCACTTTCAATGCATGTCTGTCTGTCCAGTGTCTCTAAAAGGTGCATCACCCTGCTACCCCAGCCTGTGCCTGGAGATAATTCATGTTATTTCTGTTATCATCACCAGAAGTAACAACACCCTCACCATCATTGTGTGGGCTCAAAAAGCAGCAGTCTGGCAAAAGGTTGCAGATAGGGAGTGGAGCTTTGTTTTTTGACATTGTCATCAGTTCAAAAGGTTTAGGGAAATATTGCTTGATCCAGTGCTGACACTTTGAGTCTGATTAACCTGGACATTAGTTCTTAATGAAAAGTGTTACTGCAGTAGATCCTACCTGGCTCTGGAGGGTCTAGGAGGCAGCTCCTGACAGTTTATCCCCAGCTGAGCCACTGCCCCAGTATTTTCACAAGGATGGTCCAACCACAGCCCAGTGTGGTGGTGTTTTTCATGCCAATGGCACGTACCGCCGTTCCAATGTGAGTGAACATATTAACATCAACAGAGTCTTTTCCCCAAGCTAAACATATTACGGCATCAGCAAATTACAGGGCACTGTAAATTAGACTCCCTCTTGTGCAGACTCTGTTTGCTGGGCCAAGGCCACATCCCTCCCCTAAGAAAGGCAGCAACAGAGCGTTTCATTACTTCTTAGTTTCCCTTACTCCCTGCACAGAGCTGTGTGCTTGGGCATGGGCGTATTTCTGCTCATGCTCCCCAAGCATCCATCTTATGTGCACTCCCCAGAGGATGTTTAAGTCACATTACACTATGCCAGTGGCTAGTAACCCCCCACAAAAGAGACAACCCATAGGTCTGGATCAGTGGTAGGGCATTTTTACCCATTAAAAAAATGTCTTCCCCTTTCTGAGCACCTGAAGTCAGAAAAGGTTCAAACAATTCCCCAAAGCACCTGCATTGAAATCCTGGAGTCAGGTAGACAAGCAGACTTGGCTCACTGACAGATGGGTTTTGGTCAATGTGCTTTTACCAGATCTTTTCTAGGCAACTGCAAAGGGTGGAGAAATGCTATTGCAGGTCTGGGAAAAACAATGACTAAAATGAATTGTTGAGCTGTTTTCATTGGAAAAACAACAAATGCAGCCCACATTCTCCCATCCCCCTTACCACAACTGGCAGCTTTGCTTGCAGGAGTAACCCAGGGCCACCAGCTCTAGCTCCAATTGCATGTAGCAGTTGCTCTGCCAGCTCCAGTGCCAAGGCTGTGCCACACTCATCTCAGTACAGCCACCCCTCCAGGAGCTGCATTTAAGAAGAAAAGCCCTAAAAAGAGCAGCAAAAGAGCAGCACACATAGGTAAATGATTATTTACAGCTGCTGCGTGGGAAGTGTTACACAAGGGGAGGGTGGAGTGCGTTCCACCCCCTTTCCACAGCCTGTGGACAGAAAACCCTATCACTGCTGTGATGCTTCTACTCCCCCAAGATGGAGTTAATACTGTTTACCTTGTAATACGAATTCTATTTCTTGCTTTTTCCCCTTGGTTGAGCTTGTTTTCACAGCTTCCCTGCTGCTCTTCTGCTGGGGCAGCTGGCTCTGAAGGCAGCCAGGAGCACAGGGCTGGCAGTAGCAGCATCCCACCCTCCCACCTCCTGAAAGTTACTGTGTGGTTCCCAGATTAAAAATCAAAGCCCTTGGTTGCAGTGGGAGGTGTATCCATGGCAGGGGAGAACACTGGTACTAGCATTAAGCTGTTCTCACATAGCTTAGTCTTTCCTAGAAGCCAGGGAAATAGGAAAGCACGGCACCAGCTAGTCCATATTTTTCTTCCCTCCCTGCCTCCCGCATGCTAGAGCTCTTGTCACCTTTTTTCTGTTTATATGTTTGTTTAGTTTCTTTTTTGAGTAAAAGCCACCTGCAAACCATAGGGCATTGGCCAAAGCTGTCCTTATGCCCCTTAGTCTGTTGGCAGTGCGGATGGAAGTCCTTAACTGTGACCGTTTTGTTCTCAGCCCTGATGTGAAAAGGCAGCTCTTATGTCAGTCACATCCTTCACCTTCCTGGACAAGAGCCAGTGATGTACTTT